AGAACCATATGAAATATACTATAACACTGTATAACACCATATTTCTTAGAATTGATATGTAATGCCTCAAAAAGTATTAATTCAAGATCATTAAATTCTAAACCTTTAGGGAGCTAACTGAAAGGGGCTATAGGTTGGAGACCCCTGATCTAGACTACAACATGTTGATAAATGATTTGACAAAACAGACATACAAATACCTTATATGAACAACAGAAGAGGAAATGCTTTGAAAATGTTAGTGTGCAACTAGATATATTTTACATTTCAATAGCGAGACTAAACCAAGGGTGGAACCACTCTCTTTCCACTTGCACTAACCTTACATCAATACAGCACTGTCCCCATTCTATGCCACAGAATTGTCGGAAAATTGAATGTTGAAAAGGAAGTGCCGAATCCGATGAAAGAGCACAACTGCCTCAAATACAAATTCAACTCAGTCCTTTGATGCTTGCTGGAATAATTTTATGCCTACTTCTCATTTTTTCTCGTTTTGTGCTTTGCTTTTGAATTTTGATTGTGACTGTAGGCACTTTTCAATTGATATGCATTATGAAGTGCTGTAATAATTCACATGCCTTTGTTGGGGAACAAACATGCCATTTTGTCCGCAAAAATGAACAAGAGAACTCACCGTCTCACTCCACACCTTTTTAGAAGTTCAGAAAAGGGATTTTTAAATTTTAACATTCATTTCTAATTGATCACAAATGTCAGACTCTTCCCATTATGGAGTACTGTGTCATTGCGAAACAATAGTTGCATGAATCTACGGAGCCCTGCAAGGGCCAGGGGTAAAAAAATAAATAAACTGTGCGCACAGATTACTAAACTGTGCGCACAGTTTAATAATCTGTGCGCACAGTTTATTTTTTTTTTTACCCCTGGCCCTTGCAGGGCTCCGTATGAATCTGCTTTTGGTGTGTGAGGAACATTTTTTTCTCAGCCCAGAATCTGAAAGCTTGTTATAAAAGATTGAAGAGAAAAATGTTCCTTACAAGGCCATTGCCATGACTTGGGGTTGTTCTAAAATATGTAGGTGTGCTTTTGTCATATTTATATTTTACTTATTCATTTCGTACGAGAGATAAAACATAAATTCCCTCCAACAATGTTTCATTCTAACAGACAGAGATTACGATATATTTGACTTTATGAAATGACAATCATGGCATAACATTAGGAGGCTTCTGTATTATACCATGCGATACCATATCAAGAAAATCGCCCAAAATGCTGTTGTTTCCGTGGATGTATGGTTTATACCGATAGATATGGGTGAATATTGTAATGATACACAAATGATAAGTGAAAAATGGCTTTATTTGATTACATGTTGAGTATCTTAAAACCAGATTTGTCAATGGGACAGGAAAAAATGCCAAAACTCTTCCTTGGAATGAGAAAACAGCTTCCAACTGAACTTGAAATAAAACTAAACCGTATGTCCCATTGGCATATCATGTTTTAAGACAGTCAACGGGTGCATCTCAATTCAAGATGCTGAGTCGTAAATAAATAAATTTGATTAATCAACCTCTTTGACGATGTTATATGTGAGAAATTTCAAAATCGTGAAATTGAGTTCTGAATGATGTGTGAGTTTCTTCTGGCCTCTGCTTCTCAGGGCCTCTGTAGTTCAGCCTCTGAAATGCAGATTTTCAGAAAAGAAACAGCATTGATCATTATTGAAGATGTCAGCCTTTGTGCAATACTTTTATGATCATTCGGGATGGAAATTAATATGTTTTTGAAATTTGAATATTGACATTTTTACACTTAACATTCTAGTAACTTTACATAAAATCGCGATCATCCAAATAAAAATTTAACGTTTTTACCATATCACACCCAGTCCGACTCATACCTTATAATTCTTCCTTTTTTTCCTCTTCTTTTTTTTTCTTCTAATACCCCCAGAGCTTAACCAACTACAAATTCTATATCCATACTACTAGTTGAAATAATAGCAACAATTATAAGGAAGTACAATTTTCGTTTCTTTCCGGACACACCTTGTATTCATGTAAATACATCCACGCTCCAGCAGCCGGGGAAAGGCATGCATCTGCGTTCATGTTTTTGTGTATATTTATAGACGCATGATTGCACGCACAAATTCGGCGCTCGGTGGCTCGTTCCTTCGAGGGACGGCGAAACTGGAGAGGCCGCCTAAAATACTGTGGCGGTAATTGGAATTGCTTTATCTTCAGTCTCATCAATTAATGTGCAATTTTCCATTTAATCACTAACACGCTCCCTGCATTTGCAATTAAAATGAGCACTGATAACAGAGAAGATGCCTTTCAGCTGATACCAGTTGGAATGAGAACAGAAAGCAGAAGACGTAATCAGTACACGAAATGACTCGCCCCAGCCTCGCAAACAAGCGACGGGCACAAACAGGGCATTATGCAGCTCCCAATACTTAGGCGAGCGCAGCATGGCAAGATAAAACGCAAAAATGCACGACTAAAACCTCCAAATTAGACCTTGTCAACGAAACTAAACCCACTATTTACCATATCATTTTGGCAACGGAGGATCGGTTGCTGCTCCGTTACGTAAAGGTCTTATCCACCGGTGTTGCTCCATACTTTTTTGTTTGACAAGATTAGCCTGGGGTGCTTGGTACTTTCAGGGGATGAGCTTACTGGTAGAGTACTTTGTCTGCTGTCTTTATCCAGAAAAAAAGGTGGAGGAGTTTTTATATATTCTACAACTTTGATTAGATGCTTCAAATGTTTTTATGACAGCAATAATTGTAGATATCTGTTACAAATGACTTATGCTATATAAAAATATGTTGATTTTTGCATTGGCAAGTTTCGTGTTGGTAATTTCATGTTCAATTGCTTAATAATTCAACAATCATTCCACACACTGCTTCCGTCATCACCGTGTGTGGGATGATTGGAACAATATCTGAACTCTGAACATTGTAAATCGCTTTGGGTGACCTTTGTCTGTAAAATGCGCTATATAAATAAACATGACTTACTTACTTACTAGTATTTGGACAAGTGTAATGTAATGTATGCTATATAATGTAACCTTCATTCCAATGTGTCTTGAAATGACACATAAACGTTATATTGTCCTGTAACTATCGGGATATTGTCCTCTAGTTGCTCTTGTCCAGGGGTATCCAAGCTATAGCTCCGGAGCTACAGTAGCTCGCCAGCCCCTTTCAGGTAACTCCCCAAAGGATTTATAATTTACCACATGATCCTGAATGAATACAATTTGAGTTATATATTGTAAGTAAAAATATAAGGTTATACAGTACTATAGTATATTTTAATCCCCTGTGTGTTCTCTCTTATCTTAATTATTACATAGATTTTCATTACAACTGCAAAAAAGGAGTTGCTCTCTGCCTCTTCTGTTGAATAAAAGTAGCTCTCCTACTGAAAAAAGTTTGGAGACCCCTGCTCTAGTCACAAAAACGGAAGATTAATTCTGATTCCTCAAAAGGGACTAAAAGGCAAAACATTGAGGCAAACTGATTCTTCATGCACATGTCCTTAACTATTCAATTTACACACGCCATTTTACTTTGCACCCATAGTTTAGTTTAGATTGATAAATGTACCCTTAAATGTTTTGAGATTACACAGTGGTCCATTTAGTGTTCTAAAAGCTCATCCTGTGACCCCCATCCACATGCAGTAAAAAAATGCAATGACAATATATATGACATGTATGATGACATGGACAAGTACATAGCACATAAATGAATAAATACATGTTTTGTCCACTCTCAGATTAGGCAAGGCATGTTTAATTGTATAGCACAATTCATACATAAAGCAACTCAAAGTGCTGAACAAAATAAGAAAGCATTAATATCATAAATAATCACAGTACATTAAAAACAAAGATACAAATATAAAATCCCTCAGTTGTGTGCACAGCTAAACAGAACTGTTTTTAACCTGGTTTTAAACATTTGTCAGAGAAGAGGCCTGTCTCACACTTTCAGGAAGATTGGTCCAGTACTTTGTGATGTATTTTTTTGTAACCAACTAACACACTTATACATTCTTTCTGACTCCTCAGTTCTCAGGCAGAATTGAAGCTGTACAGAATGGGCTTGTGCAAAAACAGATTTGGGACTGACACGTTACAGTTCCATACCACTAGCTCATAATTAGGCCTCTTCCTTTGAGTCAATAGCACTTGGTCCGAGTGCACCAGCCCATTGTAATTGTTGACCGCACAGGGCTTTGTATGTCATTTTGAGCTGTTTGCTACACCCTCCACTGCACTCTAAGGGAATTAATTTTATAAAATGACCTCAGAGGAAATTATAAATAAAATGCTTAATAAATCACACTGTGTTCCCTGCGGGTCAGATGTGTAATTTCGGTAACATTTCCGTTCACATAGGTTATTTGTAGCTGGAGGACAGAGAGCCTGCCCGCTGTGCTTACCTATAAGTTGGGATGTCAATGGGGGGTCTGCGTGTGTGCTCTGGTGTGTGTAATTTCCCCCCGAAGCCAATTAGCTCCCGAGTCGGGGTGGGGCAGCAGTTACAGTGGTGTTCCACAGGGTACAGCCCTCAGCCCGGTGGGGTCCCGGCCAATAGCAATTAGCCTAGCGACAAGGGCTCTAATTAGCCCTCTTGATTGGTTGGTAACAGCGCAACAACAGCGGCAGCAGACACACAGAGACAAGGTGACCCCAGAACACCGCATTGTTTTAGAGGCAGCTGTAATTAGCAAACAGGCATAGCAGTGTGTAATTGGTAAACAAGTAGTCGGTTTGTTTGCGCTGTCATTACGAACCCACCGCTATGTACAAAGATTTCTGTCAAGGGCCCCGCATTGCTGATTTCTTCTGCACATGTAGGGAAGATAGAGCAAAGACATGAAATGATACATAAAAGTGTCTCGCCTCATACTAAAGCTATACTATTTTTTGTGTGTTTTCCCTCAGTCTTAATGTGAAGCAATCCCATGATGCAACATGTGTCCCCAGCACCAGCAGTGACGATGATGGCCACCCAGAGCGTTCCTCCACCATCGTACCAGGAGAGCCAACAGGTCAGACCCTCATTTTTCTAGTTGGATATATAATGTTTTTATTATGCCGACAACTTTAGTTTTCCTGGCCCGAACTTAACCAAACCTAATTTAACCAAAGGAAACCATGCAGCTGTCATGTTTCAGCCACGAGAGCCATCCCTCTGCGAGATCCTTCCCATTGCAAGATCCATGTTGTTGTATTAGTATTGACTGCACTTAGCCTGTTAATTACCTTTCCCAGCCAGACTCGTTAGCCGAGCTTGTTCCACCTCTCTGTGTCTCCGGAGATGTGTGCAGTGAGTCACCGTGGGCCCGGCTGTAACACGAGCCACAGTTCTATAGCGTCCATTCCATACAGATAGAAACATGGATTGAAGCAGCCATTGTGACGCTGTGCATTTCTAACAACGAGTGAGCAACCAGTCGTATGTGTCGTCACTCGTGTGTGTTGTTCTCTATGTCCGAAGCAATTAAGGTCTTGCTTTAGCACAAAGTATTGATTAACCAGTAAAGGGCCTGGTGTAAGTATATTGTGGTTTGTGTCGCTGTAAAATATCCTGCCTTGTTTAAGAGTGAGAAAATAGTCGATGATCTTGAGAAGTAGTTGATTCAAAGCCTCCTTCTGTCATTCGTAGCTCATTTCTAGCATCTCAATCATTCATTGAGAAGAGTTTACTAGATAATGGTGTTGTTTTAGAGGCTGCAGCTGAGGTTGCTGTCACATGTTAATGATTGGCTAAAATTCTCTCCTTACAACAAGTTTCTGGGTGCGCTTTGGGTGACCTTGGTCTGTAAAAATGCGGTATATAAATAAAGATTTCTTACTTACTTTTTAACTTACTCCTGGGCCGCCCCTGGGCGCAGGTTTTCATTGCATTATGTGAACAAGAAACAAAAATGCACTTTGGGGCTCGGATATGATTCATAGTAATTAGAGTTTTGTTTTCTCTGTTCTGCAATCGTTAACCGGCCTTTTATCAGCTAGGAGAATTAAGAACCTAGCTGCTCTATCCTAAACCCATTTGACCCTGTATGCCAGAACGTGGAAGGGCAAGGCTGGTCAGGGCAAGTTGTGGACTTATTAAATTGAAACTACCAAAGTCATGACAAATCCTGAAATGTACTTCTAAGCCATTTTAACAGGTGAATAGTTCAAAGTGGTTCCAGCCTGCCTGTCCCACAGAAGCAGAGTCTTTCTCCCGTTCCCGTTCATCAAGGCTGATGCCACAGGACAGTGTCATTAACGTGGCCCGGACCGATGCCCGAGCGCTCTTTGTCTAACGCCGCAGACCACTCCATGGATGGGAAGTAGAGCATCATCAGCCTCCTCCCCGGACCGCAGCACCTCTGTCTCCTTTCGCCCAGAGGATTAGTGCCAGGGGAGAGCTCCCGAGACGCAGCCCGCGCGCTCAGCAAATGCAAATGAGAGCTAGTTAAGTGTGAAGAAGCTAATTTATTTCCCATTTGGTGCCGGGATTAAGACTTGAAGCTTCCTCCAAACCCCACCCTGACTCCAAAAGGCAATGGGGGTTGTTAGACTGATTTCCTAAGCGGGGATGGAGGAGACTGAACAAGTGGGGTGAGAGTAGAAGAAACATTGGTGGAAAACTCTCACAATATGGCTAACTAATAGACACAGATTTAGCATTACTTTTGTCTGATATGTGATATAACTATGCTATTCATCTGGACAGTGGTAGGTTTAGATTTGTATTCACTTAATTAACATTAATAAGGTTACATTTTACAGTCTTGGCTTTTTTTCCTCATTAAATATAGCCGTAAATGCCTCCTTACAGTCACAGCTCTTAGGCTGAATTCAAAAATAAACTGACCTGTCAAGCAACACTGATTCATGGAAAACATTCAGTCTTTGCACCTGTTCCATTTCTCCATCGCTTCTGGATATACACACACACGGCAAATGTTTGCGTTGATCTGTTAACTGTCTGGTACTTCATGATATGATTAGACGCAAAAAAGGATAGCAGGTGGAGTTTTTCTGTTAGTTTTTGTCAGAATGACTTTGGTCGACTAAGATTGACTAAAAGACCATTTTTTAATCAAGTATTAACCCATAGTACATTTTCTGAAACTTACGGCACAAAATACGGAAACGGAATAAGAGCCTTACTTGACAATAAGGTTGGGCGATATAATGCCGTTGGCTGTAATACCGGTATGACTTTGTCGGACGGTATGAAATTAAAATACTGCTATTCTTGGCTTGCAATCACGTATATTCAATACCATATTCAAACACGCTGCTCTAGTGAACAACTAGCTCAGCTGACCACTGTCGTGGGAGTTTCTATCCACAGTAAGGAAAAAGCTGGAAAGGTATTTGTCTTAATCAGGAGCGTAAGTTTATTATAACACACGTGCGGAGAACTCACATACACAAAAAAGCGTACATCAGTTCTGGCGGGGCCAGTCCCAGGTCCCCGTTTACATAGACAACACATGAAAGACAGTCACGCCCACAAAAGGTGGGAGGGGTCACAGTTTGAGACGGGCATCCAGATGGCGAGGCGCCTTGCCTGGTGAGAGACAATCTTTGTGCCATGGAGATGCAAACAGAAGGGACAATAGACATGCAGAATGTAAAAGGTCAATAGAAATGCAGACATACGGACCGATAGAGATGCAAAATGCAAAAGGGGCAAAGGTGAGATAGTAATTTGCGTCATGTCTGTCGGTGCGGGGGGGAGACCGGTTCCTTCCTGCAGGTTAATTGAATAGAACAGCGGGGGGTGAGTTGGCGTCCTTGAGGCTAACCAACTTTGCCATAACACCACCACTTTGTGTTACGCATAATTAATGAGGCGGATGTGACGTCAATTGCAAGCAAGCAATAGTGTGTACGCGCACTGAGGATGTTTACTTTTGGTCTGAGCGTTTGCAGAAACAGCTTCCTTCCCTCTGACTGACTAGGGTTGTTCTGGTAATCGCTGTAGGCAGTAACCTCCGTAAAACGTGTTGATGGTATTGGTAACCGTCTCCATGGGTTACTGCGCCCACTGTGTGGACACGTGCTTGCACTATTTATATTGTGAGTTACACCGTTATAGTGATATTTTCACTTATATTGTAATATAATTTGGCCATATCGTCCAGCCCAACTTGACAATATCACAAGTTTTTCATTTTTTTTATTTCCGTGTCTCTGGTCTAGTACTGCTGGTAAATGAACCTACATAACCACATCTGACGCCTTTTCTTAAGCTCTCTCACTTCTTCAGTGTATTCTGTAACACATAGAAGTGTTGCTTTATGGAGATTTTACTCAAGCAAATATACAATAATGTGATGGGATGGTAAGGTGAAAATCCTTACCATCCCATCACATTATTGTACATTTGCTTGATAGCCTTGTCCAAAAATCCTTCTGAATGACAGAGCTTTTCATTATGCTTTATTAAAAACCATTGTTCTCAGCTGTTCAGAGATTTGAGGAATTCAATTCATTTCTTTCATTCTTCGTTTGTTCTGTCCTTGCTGTACTTATTACCTATGGAGCACTTAGGAAACATGTTTATAAAATGTGCTGAATAAAAAATCCCCCCAATTCGCAGGTATAATTATTGGAGGGGATATTTTTTTCAAAAATCCAGTATAAGAAAGAAACTCTGTTATTATTGTCACAAAGTCCATCCTCCTAGTGTTGATACCACAGCTTTTCATATCACTGTATCATCAAAACAGCTCTTTGGAATAGCTGTACAAGACTGTACAAGTGCACTAAGACACAATCATGTATTTTTTTTAAATGTTGAATACAAATTATTAGTGTATACAGGGATCAGAAAATAAAGGATAAACGTGAGTGGCCAGGTGCTCTTCGAGGCTCCATGGAAAAACACAGTAGAAAACAAAGAGGAAATGGTCCGAGATAGTCTGACTTTACTTAAAAATCGACCCGTTTCGACCCTTCTCAAGTCGGGAGTGCACAAGATTACTTTCTTACATTTACCACTGAAAAACAAGAGAGAGTCTGAAAGTTTGTTTGGTAGATAAGATGAGATTAGATAAACCTTTCTTCCTCACTCAGTGGGGAAATTTCATTGTCATTGTTACGCACATTACAGCAGATGGAAGACCTCTTGTGCAGCCTGCCTCGCCTCCTCTGCAGAGTCAGTCTGAGCCTGCAGCCCCACACATACCCAGTCGTATGAGCCGGGCACCCAGCCCACAAACTCTGCCCGATCGTCCAGAACTGCCTTGTAATCATATTTTACAGTGGCAAAGGTTTTATATACATCAAAACTATATAAAACAGAGCTCTTGCCACTGCAGCTTACCTCTATGGCATATTTTTCTCGTTCTTAGCCTCAGAACATATTTCAGAAAAAAATAAACTTCAGGGTCATCATCACTAAACACAAAACATACATAATACAACAATTATGTAAATAAACACATCAATTTAAGTTACCTCTTCATCTACACATGACCAATAACATTGCTTCCTCTCTCCTCAGATGACGGGCACTACTCAGCAGAACACCAAGACCCCACAGGTCCACATCCCAGCCGCCTCTGCAGCAGGAAACACCTCGGTCAGCGTGACCCTTGATCCCCAGGCCCAGCTGGAGTCCGACAAGAGAGCAGTTTATAGGTGGGTCCACTGTATATGAAGGAGCCATGTGGGAGCGAACATAATGGCAGCGTCCTCATTGATCAGCGCTGTGGTAAACATGTGGCTAATTGGCTCCATCCTTGTGAACAGGCTTGGTAGTGCCTTTATGTTCATTTTCTTTGAAGGCAAAAAAAAAAAACACATCTTCTTTCTCTTTGCTACATGCTGCGCTAAAGAAATTGCAGTAAATTGATTGCTATTCCCTGATGAAGGCCGAGATGGCCCGAAGCGGGAGAGTTATTTTCACGGTGTTCTTTTAAAGCGTGACATACAGTAAAGTCTTTTCAAAAGTGCTCTCAAAGATGGCTCCTTCATTTATCACTTAGTGTCACTTCAACGTACCGAGAGCACCTTCCCTGAATGCTTTCACTCATCAAAGCATGGCACAATTATCATTCTTTTCCACTTCTTTGAATTAACTAAAATTACTTTGAAATCACCATTCCTTATGTCGCCAATAGAGTTTTAGTTGGAGACTGTGAAATGGTTCTCATCGAGCACAGTGGACTTCACAGACTGATGTATGATGAAAGGAATGAAAGGAGCCAGAAATAGAATATACAAATGTACATATATACTATTTGTTAAGCAGTAATACAAATATATAATAATATATTTTTAAGAAGTGCGTCTGTGTGTGCTCTGTGTAGTTCTTTTGTAAAATATAATGTATTTCTCTTTCACGCTAACAGTAATTTTCAAAGGTAAGCAGACTCAACATAATAGATGAACTTGCAGAACTGAAATAAATTGAAAGTATATCTACGTATTTCCTAAACACATGTATGTACTGCAATATACCACAAGGGGAACAGTGGTTTGTGTCCGGCTCGAGCCAGTACTGCTGGAATGCCATCTTTCACACTAACCACCCAACGTATGTGAGCGAGCAAAAGGAGAGGCCATTGTTTTTTACCAACATTTATGGACATTGGTCATCTGCCCCTGATGGATCAATGGCACTTTGTTTTTTAATCATTGAATTTCTTGTGTTTGAACTGTTCTGATCTGTGTTGCCGAATTCAACGGTTTTGTTAAGTCCTCAGAGATAACTGCTGTTGTGATATAGGGCTATACAAGAATAAATTGAATTGAATTGTTTCACAGTGGATGGGAATGCGCCGCCACCATGAATGAAGATTGTTGAAAAACATTGATTTATTTTTTTAAATATATGGGTTGTTTGGACTATATAAAAACACATACACTTCTTTCTTGGTGTTTTTAGCTCCGTCCACACTTATACGGTAGCAGCGAATTCTGGCATAAACACGTCCTATCGCCCCTTTTGTCTCTATTTGAGTAAGCTATGACTAATACATACACTGTCATATCTTGTTCAGAGCCATTTTCCAAGATGGTAAATTAAAGTATTGCCTGGTGTGTCTTGTGTGTGTGGCACAAAGTTTGAATATGAGAATGAAATCATTTTGAACATCTCCCTCTTGTGGTAGAAGAAGGACATTACATGCTGAGACCATTTACTATAATTTATACATGGTGTTCAATTTATTGTCTATGTAATACATGATTTTTTTTATTATTTAATATTAAATGGACTCATTATCATGTTTAAGGACCAAAAACAATGCTTAATATTTAAGACATTTGACACATGCACAAGGTGCTGTAGGTTGCTCTATGTTGTGTGTGAAAAACAGGCAGTGAAAACACTGCTGGGCACAACCCAAAAACACCAGTAAAAGCTAAAAATCCCAGACCCTTCAGCTTATCACTAGAATATTGATGCTTCTTATAATGAGCTTGTATTATCTATTTATGAAATAAATTATTCAAAATACAGACATTTTTAATCGAGCTGGGTGAGCTCCTGGTGTAGGCAGCACACCAAACCACTAACAAGACTGTGGAGCCAAATGAGGCTCAGCGCAGGTCTCAGCCTCCTGGTTCAGACCAGTACAGATGACGGTGCAGGCTGCAAGCAGGGCTCTGCTGCTGGGGGCCCCTGCGGGTATCCTCCACTGCTGTGTGAGGAGAGCAGACCCCCGCCTCGGGCCCCAGGCACTCTCCTGTAAAGGCCTCTGTTACTCCTCAGAGATGCAGGCGGCTTTGAAGTGAGCGGCCATGTTTGCAGCTGCAGCATCAATTTGCCTTGCTCTCGTTTCCTCTTTGGGATCAAACATCTTACCTTTGTTAAAAGAACAGACTTAGGTCAAAGTTACTTAAAGTTATTGTCGCTTACATTTTACTCACGTGTGCATACAGTCAGGTCCATTAGTTGGTTTGAAATCATGCAGTTAGCTGCTCCAGTTTTCCAGGGCCAAGGTTATTCCTTTCCTAAGTTGATTTTTTTTAAATATTTTACCATGAATAGATAAAAGGGAAAAGATTATTTCAAGTGAGTTACTTGCATCTGGAATCAGTTCATGGCATTCTTCAACATTGATTCCAGACCTATCACCACTAGTAATGCAAACCATCATTATGCTGAATATCCAAACACATCAGAGAGATGACAAAACTTTAGGTGTGGCCAAATTAAACTTTTGGACGGCAAAGGTGAGCTCAGCAGTACAAACTTATCTGGAAGACCAAGGAAGACACCTGAGGTAGATGGCACAGGGTTTTTCCCGCAACAAGAATGTTGTGGGTTTGATCTCCATGCCGGCTCAGGCCTTTCTGCAGGTACCTGTTGGTGGTACTTTAAAAGGGTAGCACAAATGGCTACCAATGGAATTGTTTGGCTTGTAATGATTGGCGATGTGATTGCTTGCAAAAGTAGAAAGATTAAGTATTTCAAGCAATATTATGCCTGAATAACTGAAACTGAAAACTCAATATACTGAGAGACAATGACCCAAAACATACTGCAAAATCTTCCAAAGAGCTTTTAAAGCCAAGGAGTAGATTATTATGTAATGGCCAAGTCAATCACATCAAACCTGGATTCAATTGGGTTTCCATTTCACTTGCCGATGACAAAATGATGGGATAATATTTCTTGAATAAGCAGGAACCGAACACCAATTGAGGCTTGGCAGAGCATCACTTGGGATGATACTCACCCACTGGTCATGTCTGTGCTTTCCAGGTAATTTAAGTCAATTATGGTGGTATATAGTTTAGTATACTAAAACAACAACAGAAACAAACAGTAGAGCTAAAGAAATCACACCAACAAAAGGTGTTAATTTTACGTATTAATCGCGTCAACATAAAATAATGCATTTATTACTTGCACCCCCTCCCACATACATGTGTGCTGCATAGAGTGCCTCTGTGTGGGCGCAAATGGCATGAGTATCGGATTGTCTGTATGTGGCAAAAGGAAAGTTTATTTTTTTACTTGGAACTTGTGTTTTGATTCCCTGTGCTGATTTAGCGTGAGGACACTGTTTCACAGGAGCAGAGAGTGAAGCAAATTATTAGGAAAGTCTGTGTAAATGTAGCTCCTTTCTAAAGATAGGAAATGATATCTATGCTTCTTTTGTCATATAAATGTAAATTACAGTTGTCTCTGTTATGTTAAATTTGAAGTATGCACTGGACTCATGTGCATGTGATTACAGATTTGTTTGACAAATGAGCACCACCTTACATTCATTGTTAGGCAAACATTGTTCAATATAAAATTGAATGTGTAATGTGAGCAATTAGAGCCTGTGATGAGCAGCAGCAGCAGTGAGCACAGGGCTCACCAGCATGTGCTGTTAAAACATCATTATTTGTCGCTGCTAAGTGCAATCTGTACCGTCTGTATCCAAGGTAGGCAGCGACAGTTCAGACTTTTTGGAAGTATTTTTACCCTTGCAGGAGCTAATGACTAAACCCACCTTGTTACCTTGTTGTAAATGCAATTAAATATGACTTCACATCACAAGTCAACGCGTCCCACAGTGAGTGGGATGGTGCAAAAGACACAAATAGACCCTTAGTTTAAACCGGAGTCTTATGTTGCTGTGCCGCCTCGCCGTGTATGTGGGCCGCACACTTTGAAAAGAGAAAGGCACTGAGAATAAGCATCTCTACCATTTTTCTTTAATTATTTTCCTCAGGAAGTCTGTGTGGGCTTTAATGGTTTCACTAATTGCTGGAATGCCAACTTTATGTGGAGATGTGTGGTTTTCCTCTCTCTCTCTCCCTCTGCCTGTCTGCCTACTTTGTTAATAGCCGCCGAGTAAATGTGTGATAGGGTAATTAGCCTAATGAGTTGTGGCATTTACTATAAAGATCCTTCTGGATTGTCTGCATCTTATTAAAACACTGGTGAGGCTCTTGTTTCTCGGGTTGCAGATGTGGTGTTAACGGCTGGTGGCATCCAAAAGAAAAATGCCACTTTTCATTGAAAGGGACGATATAATGGTTTTTATGAAAAACACCATTGAAGCACTGGTGAGTCAGGTTAAAGAGAGTGTATATTTATAGCTTTAGGTCAATGTTTTATAAGGACCCTTTTGATTTTCTTCAGCACAGTTTTACATATGCTCTATATATAGTAAACACATTTACGGTCTTCTTTTCAAGAATAGAGGATTTTATTATCAAAATCGTGCTGACAGAAGAATAATGCTCGCTGTTGTTCAGATGTATTTATTCAAACAGATCAAAAGAAAAAGTTGAAAACGACAAAATAATTACATTTGCCATTCAATACACAGTACGGAGGCTGAGTGGGGAGCCTTCATGCAACACAGCTAAAAGATCATGGGTTTGATTCCTGTGCCTCAGGACGCCTTAAGATTCCCACAGATGAGCCGGAAGGGAATGCGTGTGGATAGGAAAGAAGACAGACAAACACAACACCATATAGAAAATGATTTAGAAAGAACATAGTATATTAATTAAAACCAGAGCAGTAGCATAGATTAGCGATTTATGTATGTTCAAACAGCAACAGCTTTTCTCTGATCAAATCCACAAACGATAAATCCTTCTCTGCTCATGAGTCTGGATGAAGTCATGTGACTGTGAAAAGTCATGAAACAAGAGACCAGCCTCCGAAACATGGCAACATTTCC